TCATTTCCCAGCTCCTTGTCCTCATATCCCAGCTCCTTGTGCTCATATCCCAGCTCCTTGTCCTCATATCCCAGCTCCTTGTGCTCACATTCCATCTCCTTGTCCTCTTATTCCAACTTCTTGTCCTCATATCCCAGCTCCTTGTCCTCATATCCCAGCTCCTAGTCCTCATATCCCAGCTCCTTGTCCTCATATCCCAGCTCCTAGTCCTCATATCCCAGCTCCTTGTCCTCATATCCCAGCTCCTTGTCCTCATATCCCAGCTCCTTGTGCTCACATTCCATCTCCTTGTCCTCTTATTCCAACTTCTTGTCCTCATATCCCAGCTCCTTGTCCTCATATCCCAGCTCCTAGTCCTCATATCCCAGCTCCTTGTCCTCATATCCCAGCTTCTTGTCCTCATATCCCATCTCCTTGTCCTCATATCCCAGTCCTCATATCCCAGCTCCTTGTCCTCATATCCCAGCTCCTTGTCCTCATATCCCAGTTCCTTGTCCTCATATCCCAGCTCCTAGTCCTCATTTCCCAGCTCCTTGTCCTCATATCCCAACTCCTAGTCCTCATATCCCAGCTCCTTGTCCTCATATCCCAGCTCCTAGTCCTCATATCCCAGCTCCTAGTCCTCATATCCCAGTTCCTTGTCCTCATATCCCTTCCAAGTGCTCTAAAGTCACACTGGCTTAGCCCTTTTCCTAAATACCCGTCTTAAGCTGATTTCAGATGATATATATTCCTTCAAAATCAAAGTGAAAGCTGATATCAAAGTTTCGAATTCTTTCGAAGCAGGATTCAATGCTTCATACTTTACGAAGTCTTCTTCCTGAAGGTACAATGAACAATACAATGTGTTATGGTGATATATAGTGCAGGAGCTGAAAATATATGGTGTCTAAGTATGGTGTATGGTGTCAAAGTATGGTGTCAAAGTAAGGTATATATAGGGTACTATATGGACAGAAATTACTCGATATCGAGAAGAGTTATGTATAAATAGTATGATGTTGTATAATGTATGATTATACTAATGTTATACAGCATGAACAGTGTGGTGTATTTTTGTGGTATGATATCCTGGGTATAGTGAAACAGTGAATTGCTCAATGGCCCTTATAGTGTAGCACTGCCAATAAGTTACCGTACGATACGGTGAAGATTTTCGAAGTATGGTACTAGCTCGGCACGCCACAGTGCGGTATAGTGAAGCGTGGTCCTAGCGTGATAGTGAAGAATATGGTGGCGGATAGTGTGTTTACCATGACACGTTGGTAATCTGTGAATCAATCATTCGCGAACGAGTTTAATTAATGGTGATTGGGAACCTAGACAGTTTGTAATTAATGGTGATTGGTAACCTAAAGTTTGTGATTGTGATGTAGGTGTTGTGATGTATTGGTGATTGTGATGTGATTGGAGAGGGGGGGGGTGTGATAATGGGGTGGGTATGATTGGAGTGGATGTGGATTCATGATAGTTGTAAAGTGGTGATGATGGTGGTAGTGATGGATGGTGATGGTGGTGGTAGTGGTGACTGGTGATGGTGGTGGTGGTGGTGATTGAGAAGATGTAGTGATTATACATATCATAGGCTGGCGATTGTTGTAGATTGTTGTAGTGGTGGTGGTTGTTTTTTGACATGTAATTGTGGTAGATCTGATTGTATTGTACCTATTGACATTAATAAACAGTTGTAATTTGAATGGTAGATGAAGGTTGTTGTAGAGACAAGTTATGATGAAGATAGTGAAAGATTAGTTGTGTGTTGAAAAAAAAATGGTGAAGTTGATGGTGATGGTGAGAGTATAGAGGTTGTGATGACGAAAATGGTGAATGATGATGAAGGGGAACTTGATGGTGAAATTGCAGTGATACCAGTGAAAGTCATTGTGGTGAGGAGGGGTAAAAGAGGATAGTGAAGATGACGATAGTGTAAGTATAGGTGGATTAAAGTGGGGGGGGGGAAACAATGATTGTGACAATGAATATGATGATAGTGTAGGTGATTGTGGACGACGATGGTGAGGAAAATGGTCTTTAAGGGGTGAGTGAAGGTGATATGATGGTGATTCGGATGTCACTATATAAGATAATAGCAGGATAGTGTACAGTGAAAGTGGCAACGAGAATAGTGACTATAATACCCACAGTAACTGTGATAGTGACGGTGCTAAAACGACTATGATATAGTGACTGATATTCATGGTGAAACTAATAGTAATGTTGAGGGTGACACTATTAATGGTGACACTGACTCCATTAAGATACACACACACACACACACACACACACACACACACACACACACACACACACACACACACACACACACACACACACACACACACACACCGGAAATGGTGTGTGTGTGTGTGTGTGTGTGTGTGTGTGTGTGTGTGTGTGTGTGTGTGTGTGTGTGTGTGTGTGTGTGTGTGTGTGAAACGAAACAAGGAAACAAACAAATTCCTCACCGATAGTGAACACAATCATCACTTAACACTTAGCAAAAAATATAAATAAAAATGGCATTTTCTGAGTGCCTAGGCCTACAAAGGCCTATAATTACAGATTACAAACAACTAGGCCCCTCAGAACATTGCAATGGCCCCCCTATGTTGCCTCACTCAGCTTAGAGGAGACGTCTTGAAATCGTAAAGATATGACAGAGAAGCGGATAGATAGACAGACAGACATACGGCAGACAGAAACGAGCAGATTGGATAAGCAAATTATGCCTAGACAGAGCTAAACAATGCTTGTAGACAGACAAACAAGGCAAACAAGCAAGATATATATATATATATATATATATATATATATATATATATATATATATATATATATATATATATATATATATATATATATATATATATATATATATAAAGATGAAAATGAGCTGCAAATAAATTACTCGATTTATTTGAGAGCAAGAAATTAGGAGAAAAAAAAATATATATATTAAAAAGCGTGGCATTTTTTATTTTCAATATATGAGCGTTGGTTTAGAATGAAGAATTATACACTGCTTGTTCACGGATGAAGGAAAGGGGGGGAGGGCTGTTATATTCTTAGTTAGGTATTTATTATAAGAACTATAGAGGGGTTACCTTTTTCATATAATATATAATTTTCTGGTATATATATATATATATATATATATATATATATATATATATATATATATATATATATATATATATATATATATATATAACTGCTACTTGTCACTAAAACATATGTTCATGTATGTACATATTAACGATAACATACGACCGATAGACTTTCTAGTCCATGGAGAATGATAACGCGAGGATTTGATGCTCTCGATATCGTGTCAACGTCGATATCCAGTTTATGCGATATTCTCGCTATCCCACCGGGAGTGATATCAGCAGCCGCGCTAGGCGTCTGATCAGCCTCTGTGCAAGGATGCTGGGGTGAGGGGGGGAGGGGGAAGGGGGAGATGGGGAGGAAGGGGGAGAGATGGGAAAGAAGAGGGAGATGATCTACATCCATCACATCACCCGAGGGGTGGATATGTATCCACGAGGATATCTTTCGGAATGGCTCTGGCATCCGAGGGTTCGATTCCACCGCCCTGCTCCCAAAAATTCCGGGGCGGGTGTGATCAGGTGGAGTTAGTTGGTTGGTCTCAAGGGTTTTATGGTCGCCCCGACGAGGTGGTCGCTATATAGCTGTCCCCAATAATAATGTGGGGGGTCATTTGCCCCCCTATTCCCAGCTGCCCCCCCTCCATCACCCCTTCAACTACTGACGGAACTACAGAGCCCTTAAGACTACCCCTTAAAACCCCTACTCCTAGGACCCCCCTTAGGAGACCGGGCCGGGGGTTCGCTGAGCCCCGAAATCACCTCAAGGTAACCCCTTACTCACACTACAGACGGCTAGGGGGCTTCGGGCCCTTATTCATTATTATTCAGTCTCGTTATTGTACTAATTATATTGAGTATTAGAAGCTTGGCACCTGCTTGATAGTGTATAGAATTGTATTGTATAGAAAGCTTTCTTCCTGCTTACCCAGACCTGCTCCTCTTCTGATTAGTGTGAAGCTGACAGTCCCGCTTCACTCAGGCTACTGTGGCGGGGTTTTCCCGCTTCTGTGGTGGTTACAGCCCTCCTGCTGGTGCTGAGGAATTACAGCCCCTACTATAGTCTTTCCTCCTGCTGCTGCTGGGGAATTACAGCCCCTACTATAGTCCCTCCTCCTGCTGGTGCTTGGGAATTACGGCCCCTACTATTGTCCCTCCTCCTGCTGCTGCTGAGGAATTACAGCCCCTACTATAGTCCCTCCTCCTGCTGCTGCTGAGGAATTACAGCCACTACTATAGTCCCGTCTCCTGCTGCTGCTGAGGAATTACAGCCCCTACTATAGTCTTTCCTCCTGCTGTTGCTGGGGAATTACAGCTACTACTATAGTCCCTCCTCCTGCTGCTGCTGAGGAATTACAGCCCCTACTATAGTCCCTCCTGCTGTTGCTGGGGAATTACAGCTACTACTATAGTCCCTCCTCCTGCTGCTGCTGAGGAATTACAGCCCCTACTATAGTCTTTCCTCCTGCTGCTGCTGGGGAATTACAGCCCCTACTATAGTCCTTCCTCCTGCTGCTGCTGAGGAATTACAGCCCCTACTATAGTCCTTCCTCCTGCTGGTGCTGGGGAATTACAGCCACTACTATAGTCCCTTCTCCTGCTGCTGCTGAGGAATTACAGCCCCTACTATAGTCCCTCCTCCTGCTGTTGCTGGGGAATTACAGCCACTACTATAGTCCTCCTCCTGCTGCTGCTGTGGAACAAGAACACCTACTACAGCCCTCCTGCTGCTGCTAGGGAACAACAGCACCTACTACAGCCCTCCTGCTGCTGCTAGGGAACAACAGCACCTACTACAGCCCTCCTGCTGCTGCTAGGGAACAACAGCACCTACTACAGCCCTCCTGCTGCTGCTGAGGAACAACAGCACCTACTACAGCCCTCCTGCTGCTGCTAGGGAACAACAGCACCTACGCCCACCGTCTCACCTGTTATGGGCGCCAACGCTGACAGATGATGGGCCATGGCTGCCGTCCGCTCCAGGGGCGTGAGACCTGCCAGCCAGGGCAGCGGGGCGCCCCCCATGTGGGGCAGCATGGCCCCCAGGGCGGTGCCAGGGCCGGCGCCCCCCACTGAGGGCCTATGGGCCGGCACCCGGATGACGCCGCCCGGCCCTGACAGGTGCTGCAGGGAGGCCTGGGTGCCCAGGCCCGCGGCCACCGCAGCTGCGGCAGCGCTCATGGGCGGCATCAGGTTGAAGTGCGGCAGGAGGCCGCCGGCGCCCATGAAGGGCATGTGTGTGTAGGTGAAGGGCTGGAAGGGCCGCGCCTCCCCTTCGTCATCGTCGCCCTCTGCCTCGCTCCCGGCACAACTTAACCTCTCGCGGTCATCCGCGTCGCGTTCCCTCTCGCTGGGTTCACTGTCGCGCTCACACCGTTCACTGTCTCTGTCACTGTGGCGGCTACGGCGCTCCAGTTCCGCGGCGTAGCCGCCTTCACACTCGCGATCCGACTCGCTTCCCTCCTCCAGGAGTCTGTGTCTGAGCGCCGCGGCGCGACCCGACGATTCCAGCAGGGAAGATATGCTGAAGGAGAGCCTGCCATGCTGGCCCTTGGGGCTGCGGGCGTCACCATGGCGGGCGTGTAGGGGCTCGTCCCTGCTGAGATCCAGCGGGGAGCTGCTGCGGGCGCGGGCGGGAGACACCGGCGCGGGAGAAGTCTCGCGACTCGAGGCCCCGTCGACGGTTATTTCCTCGTGATCCTCTGCTGACATGGCGGTCATCCTGGTCGGGCGCCGCGGTGTCCTCGTCTCACTACCGCACACCTCCGGCTAATCTGTATTCTCCATTACCAATGTCCTCTTGGGCTCCCAACATGCTCCCATCTTGGCATGCAGCCGCGCTTACGAGACCATTAAAATCACAACCGACATAACAAGATTTACCTTCACTACAAGCCAAACTCAAACACGGAATGCATCAAATCCATCTTTCAGGAGCCATTTTCCTTCACTCAACGATGATTGGCTGAGCGGCAAGCCCCGCCCCGCGCTCCCATTGGCCGGCTCCACGCCGGCTCCGCCCACCATCGAGCGTGTTCATATTGGTAAACGAATTATGGGCTACTGAACTATAATTAGAGTAAATTACATCAAGATATTAATTCAGTTCATTCCATGCTGAGAAAATATTAGGAGTGAGCGTAATTTAATGAAAATGGGTGACTACTTGTACCTAAAGGGACAATCATTTTGAAATTCTTCTGAATTTCGTTGGCAACTACAAATTAACCGGCCGAAATTCCCATAACCGGACCAGTAATTATGTGTTATTGGGGGGCTTTACCGCTGCCCGAATGTGAATATTAAACAGATATTATCGAAACATATTGGAACCGACCCTAATAATGAAACCTGCTCCGCTATGAGCATTGTTTTCTCTTTTCTTAGCGAGGAATCGCCTTAATCAACGCTCTAATTTCTGATAATTGGCTCGGGAACTGGAGTCGCTGCCCCGAATATAAAGACGCCATGAATCACAGGTGATGACACACATTGCAGGGTGTAGTCTGTGCATGCTAGCACTCTATCCTTGCCCCCTCCTCTCTCTCTCTCTCTCTCTGTGTCTCTCTCTCTCTCTCTCTCTCTCTCTCTCTCTCTCTCTCTCTCTCTCTCTCTCTCTCTCTCTAGTTCGCTCTAGCAGTTGTTGTCTCTATCTCTCTTTTTTTTTAGGTCTTTGTCTCTCTATAGCTCTTTATCTCCGTCTCTATTGCTATTTATATCTTTTTTTATATCTGTCTATAGCTGTTTTATCTGTCTCTCTCTCTCTCTCTCTCTCTCTCTCTCTCTCTTTCTTCATCGCTTTCTCTCCTTCTCTCTCTCTCCGCTCTCTCTTCTCTCTCTCTCTCTCTCTCTCTCCACTCTCTCTCACTCTCTCCTCTCTCTCTCTCTCTCTCTCTCTCTCTCTCTCTCTCTCTCTCTCTCTCTCTCTCTCTCTCTCCTCTCTCTCTCTTCACTCTCTCTCTCTCTCGCTCTCTCTCTCTCTCTCTCTCTCTCTCTCTCTCTCTCTCTCTCTCTCTCTCTCTCTCTCTCTCTCTCTCTCTCTCTCTACACCCACACATAAACATCCCAGGAACTAAAGCAAGGATTAGATAGCAAGAACTCTCAAGAGCTGCCATAATATACATCAACACCGCTTTGGACTTTAATACCCGTGTATCCACGATATTTATCCTCCACGCCCGACCAGTCAGTGCCTTGCACGGTACACGTGATTGACTGCACACACTCTTCTCTGAAATGACCTGACTGTTTCCTGAACTGGTTTGGTTTCATTGGGAGTGTGTTGGTGTGGTGTTCCTGGTGATTTATCTGGCCTTTCCGCCTTTCCGCTGATTAAGGGGGGCCTTATTCTGGTTGTAATTGAAGCAATTTGGGCACAGGTCTTCTGAGAGGGACTTGCTGATCAATGTAGGATACACTTCTGGGAGTTTCAGGAGTCCTTTTCCTTTTCTCCTGTCCTTTTCTCATAGGCTAAAGCGATTGGCCAGGATTTACTCGCATTTCTGAAGCCGCCGACAACTTATTTCACTCCTGCGGACTCCTGCAGACCTCTCCTCCGTCGTGCAGACCCCTACCTCCCTCCTGCAGACCCCTACCTCACTGGTGGAGCAAGGGATCGAGGTCTCTGACTAGGACTGAGGGCTCATTTCCACCGCTTCAGGCTTGGTCAGGAGTCACATGTGTGTGTGAGTGATCAGTTTAACGGCTCCCCCTTCACTCTTCAGACTTGAGTAACGAAAATGATTTATGTCCCTGTGTGTCTCCAATCCTTTCGGGCCAGGTGCAAGGATTTATGTGACCGAAAATGATATATTAAGAAAGGGAATCAATGTCTTATACTGAAGCAGAAGTAATAATCAGTAAATTGCGTGGGGGTTAAGATGTATGTTTGGCTCTGAAGAAAGTGATGTATTTTGACTGGAGAAGTTGTGTATTTTAATCGCAAACAAAGGTATATACATTAGTCAATGTACATAAAATACATTTCCCATTAGAGGATTTATGGTTATTAATATATTTCGAGAGATATCCCCCCCCCACCCAAAAAAAAATTGTTTTTCTTATGCCAAGTTTTGATTCATTGCGGTTTGATTTGTCGTTGGTATAATGAATACTTGTTTTGATTGGAATATGTCACCTTTTTTTGTCTTGTTTAAGTTAGATTTATGTGTTACAGCAAGAACACTTCTGCTGTAGCGAAGAACACTTCTGCTGTAGCCTCCTACAATGAACATTTCTGCTGTAGTCACCTACAATGAACATTTCTGCTGTCGCCTCCTACAATGAACATTTCTGCTGTAGCCTCCTACAATGAACATTTCTGCTGTAGCCTTCTACAATGAACATTTCTGCTGTAGCCTCCTACAATGAACATTTCTGCTGTAGCCTCCTACAATGAACATTTCTGCTGTAGCCTCCTACAATGAACATTTCTGCTGTCGCCTCCTACAATGAACATTTCTGCTGTAGCCTCCTACAATGAACATTTCTGCTGTAGCCTTCTACAATGAACATTTCTGCTGTCGCCTCCTACAATGAACATTTCTGCTGTAGCCTCCTACAATGAACATTTCTGCTGTCGCCTCCTACAATGAACATTTCTGCTGTAGCCTCCTACAATGAACATTTCTGCTGTAGCCTTCTACAATGAACATTTATATTGTAGCCTCCAAGAACATTTCTGCTGTAGCCTCCTACAATGAACATTTCTGCTGTAGCCTCCTACAATGAACATTTCTGCTGTATCCTCCTACAATGAACATTTCTGCTGTAGCCTCCTACAATGAACATTTCTGCTGTAACCTCCTACAATGAACATTTCTGCTGTAGCCTCCTACAATGAACATTTCTGCTGTAACCTCCTACAATGAACATTTCTGCTGTAGCCCCCTATAATGAACATTTCTGCTGTATCCTCCTACAATGAACATTTCTGCTGTAGCCTCCTACAATGAACATTTCTGCTGTAGCCTACAATGAACATTTCTGCTGTATCCTCCTACAATGAACATTTCTGCTGTAGCCTACAAAAAATAATCCTGCTCCTGCGTGCCTAAATACATAATCGCATTTCAGATGAACTTAAACACTATAATTATTTTCAGAATAATTACCATTACTAGGAATAATAATCACCTGTAATGGCAGTTAATGATTTTAATTATTATAATCGCGTAATTATTTGGGCTTAGAAGCAGCCTATTACTACTTATAGATTATATATATATAATTATATAGTATAGTATAGATTATAGGTTATATATTACACACAATGTGATAATTCTGCCTACTAAACTCTAGTTCCCCAGCAGACACCTGGATGATATCTATTCCAGCAGACATCTGGATGATATCTATTCCAGCAGACATCTGGATGATATCTATTCCAGCAGACATCTGGATGATATCTATTCCAGCAGACATCTGGATGATATCTATTCCAGCAGACATCTGGATGATATCTATTCCAGCAGACATCTGGATGATATCTATTCCAGCAGAAATCTGGATGATATCTATTCCAGCAGACATCTGGATGATATCTATTCCAGCAGACATCTGGATGATATCTATTCCAGCAGACATCTGGATGGTGTCTATTCCAGCAGACACCTGGATGATATCTATTCCAGCAGACATCTGGATGATATCTATTCCAGCAGACATCTGGATGATATCTATTCCAGCAGACATCTGGATGATATCTATTCCAGCAGACATCTGGATGATATCTATTCCAGCAGAAATCTGGATGATATCTATTCCAGCAGACATCTGGATGATATCTATTCCAGCTGACATCTGGATGATATCTATTCCAGCAGACATCTGGATGGTGTCTATTCCAGCAGACACCTGGATGATATCTATTCCAGCAGACATCTGGATGATATCTATTCCAGCAGACATCTGGATGATATCTATTCCAGCAGACATCTGGATGGTGTCTATTCCAGCAGACACCTGGATGATATCTATTCCAGCAGACATCTGGATGGTATCTATTCCAGCAGACACCTGGATGATATCTATTCCAGCAGACACCTGGATGATATCTATTCCAGAAGACATCTGGATGGTGTCTATTCCAGCAGACACCTGGATGATATCTATTCCAGCAGACATCTGGGTGATATCTATTCCAGCAGACACCTGGATGATATCTATTCCAGCAGACACCTGGATGATATCTATTCCAGCAGACATCTGGATGGTATCTATTCCAGCAGACATCTGGATGATATCTATTCCAGCAGACATCTGGATGATATCTATTCCAGCAGACATCTGGATGATATCTATTCCAGCAGACATCTGGATGGTGTCTATTCCAGCAGACACCTGGATGATATCTATTCCAGCAGACACCTGGATGATATCTATTCCAGCAGACATCTGGATGATATCTTCCAGCAGACACCTGGATGATATCTATTCCAGCAGACACCTGGATGATATCTATTCCAGCAGACATCTGGATGATATCTTCCAGCAGACACCTGGATGATATCTATTCCAGCAGACACCTGGATGATATCTATTCCAGCAGACACCTGGATGATATCTATTCCAGCAGACATCTGGATGATATCTATTCCAGCAGAAATCTGAATGATATCTATTCCAGCAGACATCTGGATGATATCTATTCCAGCAGACATCTGGATGATATCTATTCCAGCAGACATCTGGATGATATCTATTCCAGCAGACATCTGGATGATATCTATTCCAGCAGACATCTGGATGATATCTATTTCAGCAGACACCTGGACGATATCTATTCCAGCAGACACCTGGATGATATCTATTCCAGCAGACACCTGGATGATATCTATTCCAGCAGACATCTGGATGATATCTATTCCAGCAGACACCTGGATGATATCTATTCCAGCAGACATCTGGA